TGCGCGCGCAAATACTTTTAGAAATATTCCCGGTTTCTGATGTTGGTGATTGCAAATATGTAGATTGTTATACAAATGTAGGCTATCTAGCAGGTATCCTGTTCAATCCAGTTCCAAGTTTTGAAGAGACATCACGTTGCAATTCTGGTTGCTTGCCACGATATAAGAAATTATCTATAATTCAAATAGATCAATTAAAAATTGCGAAAGCATCAATTAATAATAATTTCGATGAAATAATAAAAGAGAGCATTTACTTAAAAGGTGAACATCCTTGTTGCTCAAAAAATTGTCCCGGTGTTGAAACGACAACGCTATCTAAAACAGGCAAGATTTGAATTATTAAACATAAAGTAGTACATTGTTTTAAAAAAATATTAGTAAAAGAAAGATTATAAGAAACAAAACGCACATGTTGGAACGGAAAATATTGCGTCACTTGCAGTACTGCTAGACTGAAAGAAATTCAAAATTTGGTTAAATATTTTCTTTATTTTGTTTTTTCTTTCTTCATAATAAAATATTTTTGTGTTCCGACACATTTGCGTTTTTATACTTAAAGCTTTTTCCACACATTTTTTATAAAAGTACTGACCTTTATTATTAAACCGATATTTATTTTTCAGGAGATATTGTCATTTTCGACATCTTCTCATCAACAAATATGGACTTCCATATTAAATTGAACGATATTCATAAATCGTTCCAAAATCCATTAAATGGAGTAAAATATAAATTACTTGGCGTTGTTGTATACAAAAAACCCATTAGAACAAGAGGTATACGAACAATCGGGCACTATACAGCTATGTGTTTAAGAGTAGGACAGACATGGATCGAATATAACGATCTAGAACAAAAAGAAAGAAATGTTAAAGAAAAATCTTCCGTGACACCAGCTTTATTAATTTACAGCGTTTCGAATTAAAAGTTTTACACTATTTTAAGATATAATTATTCTTTTATAATTTGTATTATAAAACATATTTAATAAAGGTTTTTTTAAATAACAAGTTACAAAATTATTTTTAGTAGTACAAAATAGTATTTAATAGTACAAAGTAGTATGAGAAATAATTAATAATGTAATAAATTTAATTCCATTCATCTAATAAAATTTTCAAAAGCTTGGAAAGGAATAAAATTTTGAAAAAATTGGAAAACAAAACTTATTTTTTAGATTAGACAAAATAGGGGTTGTTTTAAGGGGTTGATAAAAATATTTTAATGTTTTCTGGGGGTGATTCGAATTGGTACAGATTAAATACTAATAGAATCTCCTTTTATTTTGGTTTTTAAAGTATTTTATTTTGTTGGCTTGATGTTCGAGTTAGCAGGACCACAATTTTCTTTAAGTAACGAGGGGTACAAAATTATTTCTGGTGGTACAAATTAGTACACGACAAATAATGAATAATACAATTAATTTAGTTCAATTTTGATAATAAAATTTTGAAAAAATTGGAAAAAAAGACTTATTTTTTAGATTAGACAAAATAGGGGTTGTTTTAAGGGGTTAATAAAAATATTTTAATGTTTTTTGGGGTGGTACAAATTGGTACAAATTAAATACTAATAGAATCTCCTTTTATTTTTGGTTTTTAAAAATTTTTATTCTGTTGGCTTGATGTCGAGTTAGCAGGACCACAATTTTCTTTAAGTAACGAGGGGTACAAAATTATTTCTGGTGGTACAAATTAGTACACAACAAATAGTAAATAATGGGACAAATTTAGTTTAATTTCGCTAATTAAATTCCTAAGAAATTGAAAGTGAAATGGACTATTTTGTAGGTTAAACGAAATGAGGGTTGTTTTAAGGGGTTAATGGAAATATTTTGATATTTTTGGAATGGTACAAATTAGTACAAATTCTGCACTAAAAGAATATGTTATAATTTTTATTTTTATTTTTTTTTTTTGGTCCTGCTAGCTTGATATCAAGTTAGCAGCGCCACGATTTTTTTTGTAATGGCATGAGGTACAAAATTATTTTTTGTGGTACAAAATAGTACAAAATGGGTACTAAAAATTCCGATAGGTCGGATTTGATTTTGCTGATTTGGTCCTGCTAGCTTGAGAGAGGTACTATGTGGACAGATTCTGCAGGCAGAATACGAACTTAATACGGACACAGATGGCACCGTATCTGCTGCCAAGTTCTGAGCGAATCTGCTCGCAAACTGTCGACAGGCTGCTAACATTTTGTTGACTGAGAGAACTAAACTAGAACTGACCCAGTAAACACAAAGTAACAGTAATATAACATTAATGTTATAATTTTCCAATCAACAATATAATTGTTACGTACAAGGCGTGTAATATTGCAGTTACATTGTTGAATGGGAAATTATAACATTGATGTTACGTTACGTTACTTATGTTATGTACAACGTTATGTTACTGTTAGCTTGTATTTACTGGGGAACTAAGCGAGGACTGAGGTTGCGATTACATGATGCGCGGAAACGCGGAAGACAAACTTACTAGACTTTATTAGATGTCCGCGTTTCTGCGCGTTCTGTTCCGTGAGTTTGTTTTCCCTTATATTACTGGAGCACAATTTGCGTGGAAAAGCGGAACGAGCTGGTAACAAATTCACATTTGTTTGCATTTTGTTTAAATATGTTAACTTATTTCTATGCAACTTTATCAATATAATTATTTTTTTAACGGATCTATTTAATAATTGCATTTAAAATTTAATTGAACTTCCATTAAAAAAATGCAATAAATGTGAATTTGTCACCAGCCCGTTCCGCTTTTCCGCGCAAATTGTGCTCCAT